AACCAAACCAAACCAAACACAATAAAAAGAAATCAAGATACACAATCTACCACTCGTATAACACCACAAACAATGCAAAGCCAAACAGAGTATAGAGTAGAGCCACTCAACACAACATTAAACATTATTTATCGCCTCTTTTGTATGCGCGTTGATACGCGACAGACAGACAGACAGGCCAACAAACCCAACAAACCGAGCAGATTTGTGTGTGCCTACTTGTAGTTAGGCATGCTAGCCAGCAGCGCAAGCAGACGACAAACAGGCTGAAAGGTTGGAAGAAAAAGCAAGGTAAGCAGCAGCACAACGCAAGCGTCATTCAGTCACACATAAACGCATTCAGGCATACAACGAGCGTATTTCAAACCAAAGACGAACAAACAACAAAAACGCCCGAAAAACAGCAGCAGAGTACATTTGAAAATCGGGCAAGTACAGGCAAAAAAAAATATATACATATATATACAAAGTGTATAAGCGTACATATGTCTGCGTGTGTGTGTGTGTGAGTATGCGCCCTTTTCATTTTGCAAAAAACCGAAAAAATTCCAAATATATACGAAGAAATCGTTAAAAAAGAAACAAGCACCTCAAAAGCCATCTACTAATCATACAGCCAAGCACCTAACCAAACGGCCAATCGACCAACCAGCCTACAAAATATACTCGAAACAAACCTAGCCGCTGCTCTCACTCTCTTGTATATGACCACATCTGACCCGCATCCGAAAACAAAAAAAAAAACACAGATTCATACATATACACACATATGTACATATGTATGTAAGTATGTGTACGGTCTGTCCGCAATTGAATATCTTTTTTCCGCTTTAGTTTAATTCTCCTTTAATAATAACATTAAACAATTTAATCTGTAAGCATATCAGTTGCTAACACCAACATTAACAGCATACATACATACTTGAGCAGCACAGCAACAACAACCACAACATGTGCACAAACACATTGAAAGTAGATCTTTGTGTGTGTGTTTCTTTGCGCCCTGCGTTGGCATTTTGTTGTTGGCCCAGTGTTAGCCATCATAGTTGTTGTTGTTGGTGTTGTTTGCCACTGTGCTCTATGTCACACAGAGTATCATCAGTCGAATGAATCGGATACAAAACCAAAAGTGCACAAAAATCCACTCCCAATTTATCACTCAATTAGCACGCAAAAATGTAGTAAATTTACTACCATTTGACATGAAGAGTCACACAGTCAGTCGACAGTCGGTTACATACATATGTACATACATATGCAGTTGGTGTTATAAAAGCCGACAGCCAGCAAAAATGAAATGCTGCTGCAAGGAAAGATAAGAAAAAAAAATCAAAATAATGCAAATTAGAGAGTGGGAGAGTGGTAATGATTGAGAGACAAAATATTGTACGAGTAGTATGCAGATGAGTAGCATTTAATAGGTATTTTGCATTTTTCTTCGTTTCCAAACATATATATTGAGAAAATCGTCAACGACGCTCTCTAACTGACTCTTAACGTAACTAATCGGGCGCATGATGCGGGAGATCTGGATTACTAAAATTCGCTCACCTATCGCCGTCCGCTTTATAGAGACACACGCGCATAATCGATTCAAACGGCTACCACCCAGCCCTAAAAAAAATTTCATACAATTTGTGAGCAGCTTTAGCTGCTTTGACTTGAAAATTTTCAAGAGAATTTGCGAGAGACTGATAAATTAGTACTTAAAATAGTAGTAGGAATGTAGTAGAAAAATAGTCAAAAGGTAGTAGAAAAGTACTAATTTGAAAAAGGTAGTAGATTGCAAGAAAGTAGCAGAAAAGCAGTGAGAGCAAAGTCGTTCGTAACTGCGAGAATTCAGTGTATACTACATACATTTGTATGTATGCTTGCTACAGCTAGTGGTAATCTCTTCTCAAATTAGTGCCTCAGCATGCCACACAAGTTGATGTCATTGCTAGAGTAAATATTTTACGTACGTTTATTTCTGTCAAATGCACAAACCATAGTAAATTTTCTCTCGAGTTTTTCTACCAACCTACTCTCACTGTAGCTATATACATACACAGTAGGAACAACAGCAGTTATTTTTTAACCACCGCTGAAGAGGTAACGCTCACCTATGCAGCTGAGCAGGGTGTTTAGGGTATGAATTTCGGGGGAACGAAAAAGGCAGATGTGCCTATCGTTCACACAAATGCAACAAAAAGACATATGAACATTCACGTACTTACGTATGTATGTATGTACATACGTATGTATGCATCGCACTCATTGTTCAATTCGCTCCATGCTTATCTCTGTAAATATAGTACTCATATTTTCATCGTTGTGCGGGAGTTTAGTATGGCGCATGGTTACGGTGACCATATGTATGGTAGCCGAAGACGGGACAAAAAATAATGTTGCCAATTTTTTTTGCACAAAAGCTAGAGGATTTTAAAACCTCTTTCAATGATCCTGAAGCAGCATTTTTATTTGGCTTATATTTTTCGATCTTTTGTGAAAGCAGTTGTAACATCACGCGTTTGTAGAATATTTTTCCAAAATTTATTACAAACAATCCTAGGCAGGGAAGCATGATGAAAATATCCGACAACTTGTGAAGCACGAGTGGTATTCAACGCATTATTTTCAGATTCGGATTTCGGCCAAGCGCAATGCAATGAATAGCATCCGGAACGAGCTGAATTGCAAAGCGTACCTTTGAAGGGTTCCACTTCCTTTCAACCTTTGAGGACTTCTTTACTTTTACAACATTGTTCTGGTAGCCTTCCTATTTGGAGTTCCTACTGTTGAAGATACAATCTCTCATACAATAAGCAAACATTTTTTAGGTGTAGTTTCACTCTTTACAAAATTTGAAAATTGCCCCCACACCACGACACATTGGGCAGGTAATAGTACCATAGAAAAAACAGCAAGCTGTGTGTATTTTGTTGTTGGTTTTGGATACCATATCGATGGCTGAGTGGAAGATCGACCTACATATCTCGGCAGCCAGTTCAAATCTGCCCTATCTCAGCTGCCGATTCAAAAACGCCCCATCTCATCATTCTGTTAGTGTATTTTCGTTTGAGTTAGGGCGTTGTTTAACCAAATCTGATATAGGGTGTTTTTCAATAAAATTTTAAAATAGTTCTGTAGTAGGGTGTTCTTGAAAAGTTTTCTGAGATAGGGCGTTTTCGAACTGGCTGCCGAGATAGGTCGATCTTCCGCCCAGCCATCGATAAACGCAAGCATAGTTTGAAATTTGAAAAAATTACAATTTAAAGACGAAATTCTCGACAAAAGTAAAATCAGCTGCGCTACTGCTGCTACTTGTTCAATATGCTTTGCTCCATACGGAATATTCAACGTGAAATGCATTGAAAAAACCTTTCAAAAGCTAAATAAAGTAAAATTTCTTTCAGAAATTTGAACAATAATCACTAACTAATTTCGATTCATACTTACAAATACCGATTTTTCCTACGCAAAATTCTAACTTCAGAAATCACATATCGTCGTTTAAAGTAGAAAAAGTATTATTTTAAGAGAGAGTTGCTTTGTTACAGTAGTTTAATCGGTCACCACAGCGACACATTTAGATTGCTCGCTACTTATATCCTGAAAACACCCCTTCTTTCAAGAATACCTTTCTTAGACTAATCAATTCGTGGACTATTAAAATTTATTAGACACTTTCTGGAACATTCTTTTTACAGCCTTGTGAATATATTTATACCCGAGCGCACTTGTGGCAAAGGGCAACCTTGTTCACATAGCGGTAGTATTTGGAAAGGTCAAGAAAACTATATTTGATACTTGCGCCGCGTATCTAATGTTCGGCTCCGCCCGAACTTACATCGACTTTTTTATTTGTTTTATTTTGAAAACGTTTTTCAACACTTTTATTGGCATCACTGGGGACCCTATGCGACTAATTGTGTGATTTTCTTTATGCGCCTAATTAAGGGTTAATAACATTATCATCATTTATCCAATACAAATTGGCTGACTTGCGGCGTATATAAGATGTGCATATGTATATGCGTATGTAGCTTATGCTTATATATATACAAACGTATACGAACTACCCGTACATCAGCACGATCATAAATTCATCAACTTGATACTCGCCAACGTCGTCGAATGTACGAGCATTTTAAGTACAGAAATGTATAAATGTATGTATGTAAGTGCATAGACGTACATACATATCGTCGTTTAAAGTACAAAACCGCGTATCGTCATTCTGCAAAACCGCGTAACTGACATTGGCTGCCAAAAATTGGATTTTCTCACTCAAGCTCATGGCTTAATCCGTATCCATTCGTTCTGAAATATACTAGCCATGCTAAATGCGATGTCTTTAGAAAAAAGGGAACCATTTCGAAATATGAGTGTTCTTACTCTCTAAAAAAATAAGTTATGCAATCTCACATACGCGGTTTTGCATTTTGTTGATATGCGGTTTTGTACTTTAAACGACGATATGTATGTATGTGCTCCTCGATTCGAATCACCAGCGTCCAGATCTAGAAATAAAAACTCGTTCAAAGGCATGCCGTTTTTATGAGCTGTTAAGGCGCCAAATACCGAATACGGCACAGATGCGGGACATTAAAAGAAATACAAAACATTTGGCGTACCGTATGAAATAAATAAATTAACAGGGCAATTGAAGAAATAAAATTATAGTTTAAAAAACTAAACCTTCCTATTATAAATGCCATTCGTACTGTCATCAGGTATGCAACTTGAGAATAGAAATCGCTACATCTTTTAGGCGCATCAATATTACATAGTTACATCCCGAGCTAATAAAAGGAAGGTAATAAAAAAGAGGACTGTCCCGTATAATACAGGACGGATGGTCACCATGCGGCATGGTGGCTCAGCGAAGTAAAATAACTGCTGTCCTCAATAAATGAGCGCGCCCATTAGTGCTATCTGTGTGCGCTCTCTCTTAGCGCTACTACTGCTTCCTTCCTTTCCTGGTCCATTCTGCCTTCTTGGCAGCAGCACTCCTCAACATACTTTCCAACACACGGTCACACATCCATATATTCGTTGTTTTTGCCTGCGGGTTGGAAATTATGTTTTATTATTTGTCGCTTGAACTGTTTGTTCTCTGGGTCGAGTGTTTTTTGTTTTGCCTGAGTTCCTAAGGCTAAGCACATAGTGGCGTTGAGTAAATGGTCGTAAGAGCAACGATTTATTCAAAACTTAATAAAGTATACCAGTCGAAAAAGTGAGAAACTGCTCCACTAAATAAACGCTATTCTCAAACGAGTTAGCGTCAAAATATCGTATAAAGTATTTTGTCAATTCGTTGGAATACTTTTTATTTTTTACTTTCGTTGTTTATGTTACCTCATAACTTTGGATTTCGATAATTCTTTTGCTATCGGCAAGGCGTTGTCTCAAGGGTGGTCCCATACTATTTTCGTTTAGTTGCGATCATTTGATCATGAAGCAATTAACGGTACTAGTAAATTTGTATATGAGAATTGAGGTCGGTTTTGTTTTTTTTTTCTTAAAAATTACTTGTTAGTTATTTTATTGTGACACCTGAAAATATCAAAGAAATAGTATCAAACGGCAACGACACGAAGCTCTCTCGTTTTTCTCTTCACTATACGTGCGTTCCCCTTGAAACACTAGCCTAAGTCGTGCAGCTGACTGGACGATTTCTCGTCGTTTGACTGTTGTGTTGCTCAAGTGAGTATGCAGTTTTGAAATTTAAAGCAGTGCGCTCAGTTGCAATCGTTCTGCTGGACGAGAAAATAGTTTGTCGGCAATAATAAATATATATATATATATTTTTTTTTATGGAAGAGTGATGTCGTCGCAAGTTGGTATGTTTTTATTATATATTTATATGGAAACTATAATTATTTAAGTAACTACATATCAAAACAAATATATATTCTAGACTCAAATTTCGAAGGCTGGGTTGTAAAATTAATTAGATCCGTGGAGAGTAAACCCCCGTTGTATAATAATGCCTTCAGAGAACATTCAGACAGGCATACAGTGGCGCGCTGCTGGACTGAAGTTTGCCGAGATGTAATTCCGGAATGGAAAAGTTTGAGTGCCGAGGAAAAGGAGGTAAAAGGTAATAAATAAAAATATTCCTGGAATTTAAGCCAAACTAAACTTAAATGAAAAACAACAACTTTTTAAATTTTTTTTCTATTTTTTTTTTTAGAAAAAGAAATACAACAGAAATGGCGAAATCTTCGTACATCTTTTAGGAGAGAGATAAGAACTCAAAATAAAATCAAATGCAGTAAAACCGGTCACAAACGCCGAAAGTATATACATTTTGACGAAATGTTATTCTTATTGCCCTATTATACCCCGAACAAGGAAGAATTTAACGAGACGAATGTTGCCGAAGACGAAACGCAAGACGAATCAAACTTCGAGGACTCGACTGTAAAATTTATAAAAATCGTGGAGAGCAAACCCGCATTGTATAATAAGAACCTGAAGGAATATTCAGACCGGCATACAGTGGCACGCCTCTGGTTTGAAGTTTGCGCTGAGCTGGTTCCGGAATGGGAGAGTTTGAGTGCTGCCGAAAAAGCATTGAAGGGTAAAATAAAATAGTAAAAAAACTGCGCTTCATACTAAATTAAGCTTTAGTAGAAAAATACGTAAAAATAAGTTTTTTTTTTTATTTACCATTTATTTTTAGCAAAAGAAACACTATTTAAGTGGCGTAATCTGCGTACATCTTTCAAGCGTGAGTTAAAAGTCCAAACGAAAGCCAAATATGGTCAAGTGTCATATAAACGCCGAAAGTATATGTTTTTTGATCAATTATTGTTTTTATTGCCCTTCGTGGAGGATAAGGAGGCGACGAATAGTGAGTCGAATGCTTATCAAGTGGATATAGTACAAGACGATGACCAGGACGACAGCGAGAATGAAGCTCCAACAACGAATAAGAGAAAAGCTCCAACAACCAGCAAGAATGAAGAGGATATAGTGCAAGAAGACGAGCAAGACGACTTCGAATATGAAGCTCAAACACTCAGCGAGATTGAAGCTCCAACAGCGAATAAGAAAAAAGCTCCACCAATCAGTAAGAATGAAGCAAAACGCAGCGTAAATGAAGCATCATTTGAAGAGAATATAGTACAAGAAGACGAGCAGGAAAGCTTTGGATATGAAGCTCCAACAACCAGCATCAACAAAATTAAGCGAAGCGCAAATTCAGCGTCATTTGAAGAGATTCTCCTGGATTTTCCGAAAGAAATTGATGAGGACAAATCATTTTTGATTTCATTGGTTCCCTCCTTCAAAAGAATGACTCAAAGCCAAAAGATAGATGCGAAAATTGGAATTTTGTCAGTGATAAAGCAAGTGACTCAGAAGACTTCTAAGTTAAGCTATAATTACAAACATGAAAACTTTTCAAATAATTCTACTTTAGCGAGGTATGATATTGCAGACGATGACGCATCTCCACAATCTAGCTCTAATGATGTCTATTAATCGATAATAAAGTGAAAACAAGAATCAACTATTTTGTTTTTCTTACCTGTTTGTAATCGAAATACTTTTTTTTAGATGGGAATTACTTTTCTCCACTTTATGTCCATAGATAAGTGGTGGGCTCACTAAAATCATCACGAAATACCAACAAATATCGAGGTGATTTTTCGCGTGTTTTTTTGTCCTTTTCGTGATTTTGGATGTTTTATTCTTTACTTTTTTGAATAATTATTCGTTTTTCATTTTCAAACCTAGACTACTTAGGAACATTTCGTAACTTTTGATGCCTTTTTTTTGTTTTACTGTAGACTTTTTTTTCTACCTTTCGGTGTGTTTTGGGTGCAATGTCGGAATTTTGGGGGCTTTTCGTATTTTATTCAGAATCTATCGTAATTTTTTGGTTATTTTTCAAATTTCACTCGACACTTAATTTTTCCGAATGTTTCATGTTTAAATCGGGACTTCTTATAACTTCAAAGGACTTTATACTTTGTTTGGCAATTTTTGGAGACCTTTCCGTTTTAAAGTGGCTGCTCACAAATTTTGGTTGTCCAAGTTTTGAAACCTTTTCGGGGCTTTTCTTGATTATCGTTGTTTTCGGTGATTCTTTATGTCTTGTTCGGAAACTTACTAATTTTCGGAGGTTTTTCATGATTTTACGCACGACTTTTGAGAAACTTTTTCTAGTTTTTGATGACACTTCATGATTTACTATGGCTAATTTCAGAATCTTTCGGAACTTTTTGTACGTTTGCGATATTTGTGATGCCTTTTATTTTATTTTAGACTTCTTTGAGGCGGACCTTTCGTAATATTTGGTGACTGTTCGTGTTTAGCTCGGGACCTATTTTGATACAAATTTTCTTTTCGAGATTTCGGATACATTTTCCTGAGTACTTCTTCCTACAATTTTAGATGATTTTTCATACTAAATGGAAAATTTTTATGAATTTTGCGGTGCACCCTAGTATTTTACTAGAATTTTTCGGCATCTCTTTAGCCTTTGGCTCTTTTTGAAAAACTATTGACTATTCGTGTTATTTTCCTCACATTTACGGAACCTTTCGTAGTTTTTCAGTACTTTTTTTGGAGTTTTTGATGACTTTTTAGAACCTCTCGGGAGTTTTTCGGGGTATCGTTAGATTTTTTGGTTCTCTTTTGGAGTTTTCCGAACAATCAGTTGTATGGTAGCTATATATTATAATGGTATTTTTCCGGCTCCGACAAATGATTAAAACATTATAAAAATACGCTCACTTACCAAATTTCAGTGGGATATCCCGAAAACTGAGGGACTAGATTGCATACAAACAGACGGACAGAAAGACAGACGGACATCGCTAAATAGGTCTACCATGAGCCTATCTCTTCTTATTCTGGTACTTACAAACATGGGACCAAAGCTATACATAATACCATTTCATGCTCATGAAAGGCATAAAGAAGTACAGTATTATTTGAGTCCTGCAAATCGCAGTGAGCGCCACTTCTCTGTTTTTGCGGTCGATGCGGCTGCTTCTGCATTTACTGTTAGCTCATAATGCACTCCACATAGCCTTTGCAACTCTCAGTATTGAATGCAATCGCCCAATGTTCTACTAAGTAAATCACAATGCAATAGCAATGAGCACAAAAAGGGAAAAATTTAAAGAAAATCGCTATTGCACGATGACTCGCTGATATTATGAGTGACAGCTGTTGTTTTTGTTTTTGCTGTTATCTACTTTTATAAACATTTATGTATATGCATCTGTTTCATTGTGTGACAGTTGTGTTTGCTTCTGTTCGCTGCGATGATGACGTTGATGAAAATTTGTGTTGGTGGTGGCGAAGACTATTAACGAGACAAATGAGTTCATTTGGGGAGAACGATATTTTTTTGCGTACGATCCTATTTTATTCTGTTTTAAAAATACTTTTTGAGACATTATCAGGAAGGCCATATTTAAAGCTTAAAGACTGTTAAATTGTGAGCACATCTCAGACCGAATACTAATATTTAAGTCCCTTACCGTTTAACACTCAATATTTTAACACACAGACGATTCTTTTAGTGCCGAGTTTCAAATAATAAGGGATCAAAATGTCACAGGATTTTAAAGCTTTTGAATTTTTTTTTTTATATTTTTTATTTTTATTGATTTATTATTTTTTTTTTAAGAAAATCCTTGACCTCAGGAAACGATGTCAAATTCAATTATTTAATACGGATCGTTAGCCTGGAGGAAAGATCTTGAGTTTTGTGTATTTTTCTTTTGTTTATTTAATGTTGTTATTTTTTTATGAAAGTAAAGCTCGTTATCTAACTAAAACCATGTAAGTCCGAATTTCAAACTTTGTGCAAATTAGGAAAAAATTCGACGAATTTCGACAAAATTGCTTCAAATTTTCAAACTTTTTTATTAGAATTTTTAGAAAAAAATTTTGAAATGCAGCTTTATAGCTTATAGGCTATAAATTATATAATAAATAAAACAAAAAAGTTTAAAGTGGCGAGAGAATACCGTTGCTTCTTGGCAGTTTTTTATTTTGACGGTGCACAGTGGGACGTCCCCATATAAGTTGCGACCAAATATATTAACCATACTACAAATTCGCTGAAATTTCGTATATCCGTTATTTTACACTTAAGAATGAAGAAATGTGGAAAATGCTAAAAGTCGACGCGCCGCCACGCCCACAGCTCTTGTGGGCGGAAATGTTAAATAATATCCGATTTTGATAAAATTCAAAGTATATGCTGGTTTTAACCATAAAAGCGTTATTCTGAAAGAACGTAAAATCGACATACATTATCTTCCACCAATTTTAAAAAATAGGCGCAAATTAAAAAAAAAAATATTATTTTATAAAATTTTTTTGTACACTGCTCCTTTACGTTAAAAGTTTCCAACATGGGAGATAATGAAGAGTTTCTTGCTATGACGCGTACCTCACACAAAACTTTTTTGGACATACATATGTACCAAATTTTATGAATTTTGGGCGAAATTTGCAGACACTTTAAATTTATTTCTACAATAAAAATTCAATAAATTTTACAGTAGGTATGTCTATAAAAAAAAGAATAGAAGCTGATCTCGCAGTTCCTCGCAGCATTTTAAAGTTTACTTGTGCTAAGTAAAAATTAGCTCGTTTTCCAGGTCCTTTTTAAAAATGGGCATTTCCATTATGTCGAAAAGTGACCGTCGTACACATTCAAACCGAAAAAACCGTAATCCAAAAACTTTGCTTTTTTTTAATTTTGACAGCAGGCTTAACTTATAGCCCTTAGTTAGCCCTATAATTGGTGCTAAAGTTGATTTTGGCCAATTATTCGTTTTCAAGATATGTAATTAAAAAAAAACCAAGGCATTCGTACGGGACAAAAGCAGAAGTGGCTTTCGCGGCCAACAATTCAAACGCCGATGTGAGCGAAGCCTGATTTTACCCAAAAATGATTTATACTTTTTTTTTTTAATTTAATTGTAATCACTGTCGCACGGTACATTTTTTCCATCATGACAGTTTTGTTAAGATTGCCTTTAAATGATTTTTTAACGCAAATGAAACAAGAATGTTATGTCGCATATACTTTATATTTTGACTTACGCGCCTATTCAAGATCAATTTTTTGGAAATCTATGAATTATTATGTTTCAACTGCATAGGCCAAATTTTAACCAAATCGGACCATAAATACGGGTTTTCAAAATATCTCGACCTGGGCGCCACCTAGTAAGACCATTATAAAACCAGTATAAATTTAAAAAAGCAGACAAATTGACCTATAAATATGTTAGATACATATATGACTTTTACCTTTATTTTTATTTTTTTCGCGTTAGACCTTCTGATGGAAACGCCCATATCCCTTTTTAAAGTAAGCCCTCGAAAAAATTTCTACTCACAAAATTATGTCAAATTTCAAGTGAAACTGTCTTATAAATTTCTTTAGATACATATATTTAAAAATTTAAAGCAATGCTTGACCACAGATTGTATAACAAAAAACTGGTCATCAATCAGTCACAAGTAATTTAAGGTTCTTGCAACAAAATCAATTTTTTTTTACAAATTTATTTTTTTTTTGCATTGTATCTGCTTTAAGCTAGTGCCATTGACTGCAAATATGCATTTCTAGCAGCAAAGATTCTTTTTGATTTGCGTTAGTTGGACATTTTGCTATGATTCTGCGTAATTGATTGTTCAGAATTCGCTAATCCGTTTTCGCTACTTTTGGCCGCTGTAGTCCCATTGTGCGATCTTCTGTATTTTTTTTCCTTACAAAGTATGTTCGAAAAATTTTCATGGAAATGAGCAACACCTGCAACAAAAAAAAAAAAAATTTTATGCCTTGGCAAGAAGCAATCGTTTTCGTCTGGTAATTTGCTTTTCTGTGATATCCCAATATGCACAAAGCAAAAATTGTTTCAACTTTTTTCCATCCTCTGATAAATTCTTGATTTTCAACAACATACAACAATTTTCTCCAATCCCAACGTTTGACTAAAAGTTGAATAAAGTTTGAATTCAAATTGATATCCAAGCTTGTCTCAAATGAAGAACTCAAATTATTTTGCATACAAAAAATGTGCCCATTTCTTAGAGAATGGGTTGGTTCTCCAATTGAGGTACACCATCAACACTGGACCTTGGAATTTGTATTGGATACCCACTTAATCTCCAAGCCAAATGCTTATTGGGATATGTGACAGTCAGTAGGTGTGCATGCACGCATAGATACTTATGTGCGGTTGTATTTAGACTTCTTGTCACTCTAGAATGCCACACAAGTATGAAAAATATTTCATCATACCGTAAGGGTGGTTTTGATGGCTTAACTCCGTACAAAAACGTGTGGGCTTCTCCTTTTTTTTAAGACTAGATTTACCCTGTTGGAGTTTACACTTCGCTTTTTAATATTGTGAAATTAGTTTTACTGCCATACAAATTTGTATTTCACAGTCACATTAACATGCATACATACATACATACATATGTATGGAAGTAGTTTTTTAAATGACTTAATAATTT